ATAAAATAAAGAAAGTCTTGCAGTGTTACTTTAAACAAATGAATTATGATCTACTCTGTTTCAAAAATGATATTTTTGAGTGTTTCTTCAGGGGAGGGGGGGGGGGGGCTTGTGTCCAACATTCCCCACCATTACCACTTCTCTGTTCCTACGGCCCTCTATTCTACTGTACTGCTACCCTAAGAGGGGATAATAGTCTGCTCTTGGGATAGTCAGGTTGAACTGAATTTCAGCAACACAAAGTAAAACAAAGATAAATATTTGATGTGAAATTTTATTTACAAGGAATAAATGAGAATAAATGAGAAACATGTACTTCCAGTTGTACTCAAAATAATGGGAAAAATGTGATTTATATGATTAATGAAAATTTGAAGGAGCTTAAAATTTTATTAAAAATTACTTAGAAGATATGGATTTTAGAGAAATCCGTTGAATTTAGATCGGGTTCGAAATTCTTAATGTTCTCAATATGGCGCCTAAGTAAATGCAAAGATTTGGAGAGAACCAAAAAAAAAAGGTAAGTTATTAGGAATTCATTGCTCTCATAATTTGTACCGAAGTCAATATGGAGTGGTCAGAAACGGGAAGGTGGGCTAAGTTGCCAAGAACATTGGACGTAAGAACTCACACAGCAGGGGTGTGCAATTACAAAAATTAGTTACTAGCCCGTCGGGCTAGTGGCAGTAACAAAGTTACTAGCCCGAGGTTGCCAGTCACTAGCCCATTAACTACCGAAAACAATAAATGTATAAGTATAACAAAAAGGTTAAAAAAAACATTTAAGTTGAAATAAATAAAACAAATAATGGTTTGCGCTTTTTTCTCCCTATTTTTATCGACTATGATAATCAGGGACCTATATACTAGGTCCCTGCTATAATTATTATGTCATTGAAACGACTGGCGATAGCAACACACAAAACATATAGGTTAAAACGAATTAAAGATTATGATTTTACAACAAGGTTAATTCGTACATCAATTCAATTGCCGTAAATATATGTATACTTTCGTTTTAGATTTACCAGTGTTTACTAGCCCGACGGGCTAACGCAGTATAGATTTATGATAGCCCGATCTCTAAAGTTGGTAGCCCCGGGCGTTGGGCAATGGTAATTGCACACCCCTGCACACAAGACAATCGAAACAAACAAGTATGGTTAGAATAATGTCCGTCGAACTCGGTAACATGTATACATGTAACAGGAATGATGCTAAAAAAAATTTAAAAGGCATGCTCCATAAACTGATTAACTGAATGTAAAATAAATCAATTAATACCTTGCAAATAAGAAAAACTCGAATTCATTTAGAAAAAAGTGTTAAATATGATATTTTCTCTAATCTGCTAACAGGGACCTATATACTAACAATATATAGGTCCATGCTGCTAATTACAATCAAATTTTGCTATTTTTTCCAAATAGAAAAGCCCAGGCTCTTGATTTAAAGACCTAGAAAAACCCCTGTATGTTAACAGTACATGTATCACCGTTGGGTGAGCGCAGATGGTGGAATATTGGATACATATTCAGTTTTAACTTTAACCCCTTTGAAATATGTTTTGAGATGTGTAAAAATGCTGTGTTCTGATTGGGCAGAAAAATATTTACGTGTATATGATGTATACTTATGGCAACTTTTAGTTATCGTTCTTGACTTCCATTTTTGGAAATCGTCCAGACCTGATAATGTGCCAAATAAATAATAAATATGTCGTCAGTAGTCAAGTAAAGAGGTGATATTTCTTTTTTATTAGCTAAATTATATAACAATGTCATTAATTTGAAATCAATTTCACAGGTATCATTTGCAATGAAGCGTAACTAACTAATCCCATCGTCTTTCTGCACGAGATAATCATGCCACATTGTGTACACAAACTGTAATTAGTATTTTTACGTGGAATCCAATTTCAGTGTGTTAAAAACTGCAGGTTTTAACTTTTTCTGTAATGATAACCTACTACATTAGAAAATGTTCGGTAATACATTACAGCCATAAAAAGTGCTTACCACATGTTTATAGCTTTGTATTGGTTGGCAGGTGTATGTTCATGACCATCGGAAAGAATTTTTATTTTTCTCACTCTTGAAATTTTTTGGATTTTTCTTTGAGGCATGGTGATGAAAGTAATGGTAAAACAACCAGTTTTGGAAAAGAAATTAGCAGTATTATAACAGCTGGCTTTGCATATAAAATTTAGAATTAGGGATCCCAAGGGGGGGGGGGGGAAGTAGGATAGTTATTCAATTCGTTTCGCCAAGCTGTCGGGGAACCACACCTGGATGCCTTAGGGCTCTCGATTGTCTATAATTAGGGCCATTCAAGGGCCCCATTCCTAATTCAAAAGAGGTACCTTTCTTCCCAATTGAATGTGTTAATTTTCCCAATAGTCATTTATCCCCAAAATTAATGAAAATATGGTTGGATCTGTAATAACTAAACTTGCTATTCATATTCCTCTGTATTACAAAACAAAAATTTAGTTCATAACAAAGACCAGAAACCCAGTACAGTGGACTCCGGATATAACGAGATGCACGGGACTTATTCAGGACCCTACTTTCGTTTTGTGTGCATGACTTGCATTTCGAATTTATACTTTTCTCGTTGTTGCCAGCTTACAACGACAGATTATGGTCCAATATTCATTATAACATGTGAAATTAATTAACACACACAATAATATTGAAATTGTCTAATTAAAAATTATTTATTTAAAAAAAAAAATGTTAAAGTACAAACCAGCAGAGCTACAGTCTCATCAGAGACTTCTGGTTTTGACACAAGTCATCAACATATTGACTTCATTTTCATACCATGATGTCATAAACATGCAGCAAAATGTGCAGATTTAAAGAGGCTGGGGGGTTGTGGCCATTTTTAGACTATATTGATCTCCATTAGAAGAAGAGCTCCATATGAAGATATAGAAAATGATCAAATTTTAAACTAAAATTTTTGAAATTTTTCTTTGCCAAATGATAGTTCACAGCTTAAGATACCATATCTAAAAAAATTAAGTTAAATCTGGTGGTTAATTTGTGGTTAATTTTCAGGGTTCGAAATTCACTATATACAACTCGCAAAACGCGAGTTAGAATTCCCCAATTGCGAGTTAAAAATTAAGTAACTCGCAAAAACTTGCGAGTTGATTTTTTTTGCATTGAAATTGTAGCAAAATTATATAATATGACAGAACACAATGCCTTTGATTTAAATCAGTAATTTAAATAAAAGTCACACTGTAGTTGTGTTTTGTGTATTGTACAGTAGTTACTTTTTCCTTAAGTTACATGTATTTAATTTATATGAATTTAACTTTATATGAAAATTGCGAGTAGTCTTATAAAATTGCGAGTTCACTTTCTTGGTACTCGCAATTATTTGCGAGTTGTAGTTTTAAGGAGTTTCTAACCCTGAATTTGTTGACCCCCAGCCTCCTTAAATGTAATATGTATGCCAAATTCTATTATGATCTGAATTGTGGTTATGTTACTCCTTGTATTAGACACAAAATCCTTTAACAAATATGACTGACCTCATTGCAAAAATGGTGAGAAAAAAGGGAAAATTAAATGAATTTTGAACGAAACAAAGAAGAAAGCAAAATGGTAGTTAATTAACAGGGAAATTCCAATCTTTCAGGTGATGAAAAGGTGACTACAAAGATATTTTTACTTATATAACTAAGCAAATTTATGTTTGATCTCTTGAACTCTCAGTCTCTTGATTCAGAAATCCATGATCCCTCCAAGTCAAAATGCAGTCTTGATATGCATAATCTGTTGTTATTTACTCACAATACCTCGAAGTGTCTATGTTTTAATGTTTACATGTTTTCAAAAACCCCAGTCACATTTCCAAGAAAGACCAACGGGTGACAGTTTTTGAGGCAAAAATACCTTCTTCAGGCAACAGTCAGCTGTTCATCTGCCATTGTCTTGCCCGAATTTGACCTCTTTTTTTGTCAGCCTACCAATTTTGTGTCTGTTGGGCCATGTTATAATTTTCTCTGCATCGGTGGTCGATTCCTTCAGTTGAAGCAGTCGTACAATAGTCTGTCGACCAACCTTCAATCATCATCCGAACATTGGTAGACAGTTCTTAAAGTCGGTCGTCGATGGGTCAACATTATTGGAATTGGGTTTTTGTAAATGTTGGCTGATGGTGAAAATCAAACTGTGGCTTAGTGAACGATGATTGGGCGACTATTGGCCAACTTAGAATTATCTAAATTTTGAAAATTACCAGTGTTCTTAGGAATTAATGTGACTGCTCCACGTCGCTCGATACTACTGTCGGCTGATCATGTTTTTAAGCTGACGATACGACAAAAATTTGATTTGCCTGACCATCAGCTTAAATGTGACCTAGGCATAACTCTGCACACTTTACTGAACACAAACCCACAACACATAATTGCAGTCCTGCATACTTTGAGGTATTGAGAGATACCTATACTAAATGTAGAACTCTTCAGTGAGCAGTGTTTAAAGCTTCCTTTAATTCAAACAAAGGTGTGATGGGGGGGTGGGGGCTTGTGATTAATTCCAGATAGGTGAACTTGTTACGTGTCCTTGAGATGAAAGACTGTTGAGGGAGTGAACAAAATAGTAGTTTAGACTATATGAATCAGCCTTGATAGTTCAGTGGTTAGAACATTTGACTAGTGAAACAGGTGTCCTTAGTTCGATTCCAACCTTTTATTTTCTTTATACATTCCTTTTCTACTACAGTAGGTTACAGATTTAAAAAAAAAATGTATATTTATATTTTAAAAATGTGTTTGTTATGACTTATTTACATGTTAAGGAAAACATTTAGATTTTAGAGTGATTAATAATCTGTTAAGAGAGGTACTTTTGAGTTTGATTAAAATACCTGTAATTATGAAGGTTTTATTTCCCTACAGATGTCAACAATGAAAATGAAACAAACCAATCAGTGGATCGAATTAAAAGTTTTGGTAAAAGAAAACAGTTGCATACACATGCTAACAAGAAAGGACTTACATGAAGAAGTGTTGTACAACTATGAGAATGGAAGGAGGATTTGGTGTTTAATTGAGGTAATTTAAAGTGTTGATTCCTAGGGCTGTTTGTTTGATGAAATTTAACCAATAGAATATTTAGTTTTGAAGAAATTTAAAATAAAATTATGCATGCAATTCCATTCAGGTGAGTTTTGTGACCAAAAGTCATCTTTTTCCTGAAATTTTATCACAAAATTTTGTAAGAATTACAGTAAAACATGCTTATAACAAAGTGCCAGGGATGGAAAATTTTGCTTCATTATAAGTGTAATTCGTTTATATATCCATTAAGTTTACAATATATATTTTAAAGTCACAGGGAATAAAAATCACTTTGCTCTAAGAGTCAATTCATTATAAGTGTGTTAGCTATAAGCGTGTTTTACTGCATGTAGAAAGAATGATATATAATTTCAGAATCTGGTCACCTTAAAGATTTTTTAGTTACGCTGTAAAGAAATATATTCTAAAGGTGAAGGTAAAGTTGTTAATTATGTAACGCTGTACACATATCCACTTTGAGGTATCAATGGTAAAATACAATAGATTATGCACAGCGGGTCTGCATTTTAACTTTGAGGGTTTTGAGAGATTGAGAGTTAAGAGATCAAGAGAAAATTTGCTAAGTTATATAGAGAAAAAATCTGTGGATCTTTTCACAAAAAATCTTACAACATATTTTTATCTTAAGTGAAAACTGATGATAAAAATCGTTTTTACAAAAATTCTTAAGAAAGTCGTAAGTGCAAAATCTGTCATAACTTTACGAGAGCCCCAACCCTCTCTTAAGTATTTTAAAAATGATTTTATTGTAAAAATATAACCGCAAAAACCAAAATTCATGTTAAATTGAACTTTGTAAAGCAACTTACAATAATATTTTATATTTTTTTCACAATCATTGTCAAAAATTTAAGTGAATTACACTACAAAATATTTACGATGTAAGTTTCACTTATGACCGTCTTTTACATCAGACTTTTGATTGTGACATAGATTTTAAACTTCCTTGCTTCACAAACGATTGCATTCGATATTTGTTGTCAATAATGTTTGTTATGCTGACAAATGTTAAAAACTAAGTTTTATTTTTATTTTCACCCACTTATTTAAGGATTATAAAGCATATTGAAGTCGTTGCTAGGGATGAAGTCTGTCGTAAATAAAATCTTAACTTCAATCTGCTACGAATGTGTTCTTGTCGTAAGAAATTCTTAAGTTAAAATCTTACGCAAAAACTTAAGTTTTTTTGTGAAAAGGGCTACTAGACCCAAGGCTAATATTTCAAGCAATCAAGAACGTCGAAAGATCGAAGTTTGAGCCATTTGGAGTTGCCTGTAGTAAGGAAATGTGTTGCTTAACTTTATAATCTCTGAGAATTTTCATACCTGTAATGACATAATCCCCCTGTTATTCTGGCATTCCCCCCTCAACCCCTTTAGCATAGCTAGAGGAATCCAAGACACCCTTCTACTTTTAAAATGTCCCATTTCTATTTCAATTCTTATGGATAACCCTGAATACTTGGTCACCTCAATAATTATTTTAAATTTCAAGGATCATACATATATCTCTGGTCCCCTTAAAGCTGACATGAACTCTTAAATATGCAACAGGGAATTATTTAATCTTAGACTAATTATAAATCCTGGATTTTCAGAAAATTTTGAAATCAGGTGTAGTGCCTGAAAACTAACTTAGTTTTGCTTGAAATATCAGTTTTCACTGTAGTAGATACTGTCTAAATGGGTAAGTGTGTTTATAAGAAGCTAATATAATTGAATTATTGCTTATTTTTATTCATTCATGTTTTTATTGTGTTCCAATTTCATATTTTTATTGTTTATTTTCAGTCATAATTATTATTTCTAGGGTAAATGTCTTTTATGCAGTGTATCTGGTGTTCTAGTGGTGTATCTGTATAATGACGCATGCGCAGATGGGGGTTAGTCGATGCCTGGCATCAAAAATCGACTAACCCCCATCTGCGCATGCGTCATTATTTTCTCGCTAAATTCTGCAGTTTTCTGCAATCGAACGGCGATATTAAAATAATCCATCGAATGTCCGTCATTAAATTATCCTACGACTCCACTGTTATCGCAAAACGTTCCTTCCGAGTTGTAGATATCCATTAAACATTGCCAACAACGCACGGCTTCATAGTCCCCATGAATGAAGACCCGACTAAAGAAATGACTCGCAGCAAACGAAAATACATACCGATGCGTATTCAGCACGACAACTGCAAACACCTACATATGTTTTCACAACCATAACAACTTTTAAATCCAATGAAACGCCCAGAAAAACGCAGCGATGTAAACACTACCAAATTTACAGCAGCTTCCTAATGCAGACAACCACTACCCGACGTCACAGTCGTAAAATACGACGTCACAGGTACACTCTTTTCCCGAACTTTTCTAAAGCAAAATGGCGATTAAGCATTGTACGTAATATAAGGCATACTGTCTTTGTTGTTAAGCACACGTACTTTTAATTGTTTGCAAAAAGTTCTCCTTTAACCAGGTAATTAAATATTTATTATAATAATTATATATGGAATGTCTTTAGTACAGAAATCGGTCTTTGAAAATTGAAGATCCATGATCCGCCCACTTGTTTCACCTCCAGCTAAGAGGTGCATATTTAGTGTGCAAATCGAGAGTTTTCAAGCCATTGTGACGTCACCCTCAATAATTTGTAACAGATCAGTGAAATCTTACAAATGAATCAATAAAAAAAAAGTAATAAAGAGTTAAATTTAGTATTATATATGCCCTTTATTTTACATCGCTGCGTTTTTCTGGGCGTTTCGTTGGATTTAAAAGTTGTTACGGTTGTGAAAACGTATGTAGGTGTTTGCAGTTGTCGTGCTGAATACGCATCGGTATGTATTTTCGTTTGCTGCGAGTCATTTCTTTAGTCGGGTCTTCATTCATGGGGACTATGAAGCCGTGCTTTGTTGGCAATGTTTAATGGATATCTACAACTCGGAAGGAACGTTTTGTGATAACAGTGGAGTCGTAGGATAATTTAATGACGGACATTCGATGGATTATTTTAATATCGCCGTTCGATTGCAGAAAACTGCAGAATTTAGCGAGAAAATAATGACGCATGCGCAGATGGGGGTTAGTCGATTTTTGATGCCAGGCATCGACTAACCCCCATCTGCGCATGCGTCATTATTTTCTACAGGTACAACACTAGAACACCAGATACACTGTATAAAAGACATTTACCCTAGAAATAATAATTATGACTGAAAATAAACAATAAAAATATGAAATTGGAACACAATAAAAACATGAATGAATAAAAATAAGCAATAATTCAATTATATTAGCTTCTTATAAACACACTTACCCATTTAGACAGTATCTACTACAGTGAAAACTGATATTCAAGCAAAACTAAGTTAGTTTTCAGGCACTACACCTGATTTCAAAATTTTCTGAAAATCCAGGATTTATAATTAGTCTAAGATTAAATAATTCCCTGTTATGCGATATTTTCATCCTGGTACAACTTATTTCATTCTCGTACTCCCTTTTTCCGCCATATTTCTTTCAGATTCGCTCTCTTATTTTACCGGCTATATAAACCCTGATGACCCTGATGCCTTTGTTACACTTGAGTGATTTTCTAGCCTGGCTGTCGACATGTACACATCTCTGATAGCAAAGTCTTGGAACACGCCATGAACTAACATAAAAACATGTAGACCTGTACACATCTCTGATAAAGCAGTTTTGGAACATACCATAAATCTGAAAAACTAGGAATTTTACTGAAAATTATAAAGAAGTATTTAGATTTTGAATAATTTAGATGCAATGCATTAAAATCAAAATAGCACGTGCATGTTTGATTCACACATATATTTGAACAATAAACAAGAAAAGGCTACCACATGCTACCTCATTTTTCAAATAACACTGTACTATTGAGCATTATGCCTGCTACATGGTATATGCACATACTATGCAACTTATGCATTCAAGTATAACAAATTCAGATGTACATGCATGCATGCCGAGAAAACGCATCGAATGCTTTAAAATCTACCTGAAATACTGCTATCGGTACAGGGATGTGCACACGTCGAGAGAATAACTTCCTTTTTAATGAAATATGCATCATGGAAGAAATAAATCCATTTGTAACTCAACGGTAAACACATAGTCACTAGCACTTAAACACATGTGGTCCCTGTTGATCAGTATTTTTGGTCAGGGAAAATATCAAAGGTGAAAGTGACACTGGTATTTTGCCTGATTACACAAAATAGTCACGCAAATAAAACGTTTCAGAAATCAAAATAACTGTTTCGATATATGTATTAATAGTTCATGAATGTGGCTTCATTACATCAAATTTAATACATAAACATACATTCTTGTAACAGATCTTACATCTTTTAAAGAAAATAAAAGGAGGGGGTGGGGGTGGAATATGTATAATACATTCTTCAATATATTTTAAACAAATGTCGGAAAAAAGTCGGATTTTCCTTGATCAAATATATTTAAATACAGGTGACTCTCGATGGCTCGAACTCCGATCTCTCGAAGTTCTCGATCTCTCAAAGTGAACCTCCGGTCCCATTTTTTCCCTCTATATAACTAAGCAAATTTACTTCTGATCTCTCGAACTTCCAATCTCGAGAAGTTCTCTATCTCTCGAACCAAGACCTGGGTCCCGTTACACACATTTCATTGTTTTTTACTCTCTATCTCTCGAAGTTTTGAGATATACTTGTTTGTGTGTACAATCAAGCGTAAAATTAATGCAGCTTGGACTTACCTGGATAACAGTGAATGCCTGGGGTTGGCATGGAGATGTTCATTGGGTGTTTACATAGATGACACTATATCTGTGAGCATCCGAGTGTTGCTATAAATAATTAATTGGTTATAATTGGTAAATTAGAAAGGAATTGCTTCACAACTTATTTTGACTTGACAGCGAGACGAAAATATTTAGAAAATAATTTAAGAGGCGTGTCAATAATTTTCCATAGATTATGA